GGACCCCACGCCACGTCCTCTTGGACCTCTTGCCACGGACCCCACGCCACGTCCTTTCCCCGGGAAGACACGATTCCTGCGGCCTGGAAGGAGGCCGGCCGGCTGCAGGCAGAGCGTGGTCTGGGGTCCCGGTCTCTCGTGGTCTTGGTCACGATCAGCCGTGGGTCTCCCGAGTGCCCCCAAAAGCCCCCCCCGCGAGGATCCTCTGCAGCATGAGACCTTGAGATCCCCGAGAAGCTCTTCTGTCCATCTGGCTCTGAAAGGAGAATTTGGAATAATCATGTCCAGATGCTGATACCTCCTTCCTCCATCTTGAGCCCAAATCCTCTGGTAAAAAAGACAAGGGTTAATTTCTGCATCCTCTTCTTCCATGGCTTCCTCTGCATGCTCTCTAAGGTCCTGGTCCTCATTAAGGTTTTGTTCAAACCTTCCTTCCTGAGATCCGGAGCTGTCAATTCTGCTTGCCCTTGAGCCGGACAGCCTCGCAGGGTCGTCCTGGAGCTTCCTTCTCCGGAGCTGTTTTTGGGGTCAGGCATCCCCCTCAACTTTTGCAGCAAGAAAAGCGACTCCCGACTTAGGTTCCCGTCCTTGATACCCCTTGTTGCCCCTCTCTGAACTTTGCCCATTTCTCTGAGTCCTTCACAAACACTGCTGCCCACAACGGGACATGGGTCTAGCGAAATGGAGGGGAACAAAGGGTCCCTTCCCCGGACTTGACAAACGTCCTTCTGTTGATGCTGCCTAAAATTGCATTGACCTTTTTTGCAGCCCCCTCACACTCTGCACTTTTTTTCCTTTAAATTTCATTGTTGTTTTCTGCTTATTTCGGTATGTTATCCACAGAACATGTGGGCTTTTACTCAGTTTCTAGAATTTTATATCATTGGCTTTTTAGTCATCTGATGGCCTTTTTGAGCCAGATCCGAATCTCCTTAATTCTCATCTCATCCAGAATCAAATTTAACCAACTCAGCAGTGGACAGGAAAGGCTGCAGAAGAGGAAACTGAAGTTTTTCTCCCTCTCTCCAAACAAAACTCTTGGAAAGGGGACTTAAAACACAGAACCTTTTCGAGACGAAGACGGACCTTGGCCTGAACCAACTGACTTGCTCTTCCATTCTGGGCCCTGTTGAGTCTCTCACGTCCCTCCTTCTCCCTCCCCTCCAGCCAAGCCCACCGTCACCATCTCCCCCACCAAGATGGACCCTGGTTCCCCCAACACCATCCTCCTCTGCACCATGACGGGCTTTTACCCCCTGGAGATCGACATCCAGTGGCTGAAGAATGGGTGGCCGGAGAAGGAGGGCGTCGCCTTCGGGGAGGAGCTCCAGAACGGAGACTGGACCTACCAGCTCCAGGTGATGCTGGAGACCCAGCCCCAGCGTGGGGACGTCTACGCTTGCAAGGTGGAGCACGCCAGCCTGGAGGCCCCCGTCACTGTCCAGTGGGGTAAGGCCCTCCCTTCCCTTCCCTTCCCTAATGGTCTGGGGACACCATCCTGCACTGAGAAGGGGTCATCGATGGGGGCGCTGGAAAGACCCTCTCTGTGTGTAGAGCCAGAATGGCCCCCCTGGAGGAAGCTGGCCCTGATCCTCCTGGTCACGTGAGGCTCCTTCTCCTTCCGCAGAGCCACGTTCCTCCAACGCCGCCAAGAGCAAACTCTGGACGGGGGCCGTGGGGGCCGTGCTGGGGGTGGTCTTCCTGGCCATGGGGCTCTCCCTGTACCTGAAGAACAAGAAAGGTGAGCCATGGGGGGGCCTGGATAAAAAGATATGGGGAGGGGATCCTCCCGGGAAGACATCTCATCAAGCTGGGGAACTTTTGTTCTTCAAGGGTTTATAAGGGAATATCATGCAATATATTATGGGCTATCGATGGGGAGTGGGACCCCCTAAGTGCTCCACCCATTCACGGTTCTGATTGCATCTTTTTCTCCTTTTAGCAACTCCCATC